TGGAGGAAGCATTCTCTTGTCTCTCTATGCAGTTCTTTCTGTATAAACAAGACATGATTTGTGTTAGACAAATTATATACATCGGCTACAGTAAAGTAGAAGACATATTTGAGTTCAAACTATTTCAGATTCATGCATACATTGGCAATGAATTTGAGACCAAGTGTTAGTTGCCCTCTGTAGGTGTCGTCTTCAAGAACTACATTGTATGGAGCTGGTTCAACTTCTAATAATCCTCTGTCAAGGCCCTCACTAATAATTCCACCGAGGTAAATTCTGAGTTGCAAAAGGGGGAAAAACTAGATCAAGCTTAATCATAACCAACATCAATTGCAGTTACTAATGCATCGGTCTGTGCACACCGGGAAAGACTAAAACACAATAAGGTTACGCAATTTAGATTATATACATGGTTTCTCCAGCAAATGTGCCCTGACCGAAGAGTCCTAACTTGTTTATTCTGATCTTCAAATGGGTGGAATTTGTAAAATCAGATGGTCGAAGCTCAAATGCGAATTTTTCATTCCACCAAGCCTTATCATCTTTACCTTCATAGGCCGATTAAGAAAGAAGAATTTGGTGAACAAAGTAGCATTAGGATTTCATTTAGTAAGGGAAAAAAATTCAACTGGAATTAAACCTGTTGAATATTTGGTTCTATGCACTTGAGCACCACATTCCGCGACTAGGTAATATGTCGGCTTCCCTACAATAATATTTGCAAATTCATGTAGATGTGAATTTTCCAATACTAGTGAGGCTATGGCAAAAACAAACATAAACTTGTGATGCAAATTGTCTTGGAAGAGAGAGAGAGAGAGAGAGAGAGAGAGAGAGAGAGAGAGAGAGAGAGAGAGAGAGATGAGATGTGGGTGCTGAATGCCTTCAGTATTTACAAGAAGCACTTCAAGAATTCCTCCTGTCATGAGTGTGCGAGAGAAAAGAGCATCCAATCATTTTGAGAGAGACTGTTTTTAATTAGTAACAACTCAATCACGATCCCTTTTCTCTGTAATTGAATATCGAGTGTAAGTTACACATACACTGCATTACTATATATTAATCTCTCTCTTTTGCTAACTGACGTCAGTTTAAGTTTCGTGATGAAGATAATAAATGACTATTTTCTCAGGGGTTGAATCATATTCCTATACCATTTTGATGCTGGCCACCCATGTCAAGTGATGACTCAATTAGTGACTAGGAAAATGTTTTTCTTTTAACCCCCTTTAGTCTGAGTTATCTACTTATTCATGACTCGTTATCTATATTTTTCAGAACTTGAAATAAGAAGAAACATGTATCACATACCTTTCATTATTCATCAACAGCACATGGATTTTGCCAGTTTAGTCCCCAAATATTACAGCATGTGCTAGTGAATGAAAGGGGAAAAATTGTTGAGTGGCCAAACGGAAGATAACTGTTGCATAACTTCCATTGAATGTCAGAGTAACTAAGCAGAAGCTAATCCTTTTTTCTTCTTTTTTCTCTAATAATACTTTTTCCCAATGTGACCATATCACAGTAGTACTCTATGGAAGAAAGCTCTCGGGCAATTACCATATTTGCTGAAACTAATTTCTTGTAGCCTGAGGGCCCAATAGTACTTCCATGCAATTGGGCCTTCAGTCCAAAAGTCCAAAGCCCATTACTATTGATAGAATGAAAGTCCAATCTCCATCACAATGGCCACACTAAGATCATTTTATTCAATAAAAAGAAAGAAATGTTTTTCATACATTAATTGTCAAATTTTGGAGGTGAAATCCCCCTCATCTTTTTGTAATTCACTCTCGGGATCACCACAAGAGGTAATAACAGATTCACCCCTTTTAACAAATTACTTTAGTGACTAAAATATCTCAGTTCATTTTTTGTTGATTCAAGTAAATAGATTATTATCGAAACAAAAGTAAATAGATTATTTCCATCATACTTTCTAGATATTAATAATATTCTCTCAACATGCTTCGAAGTCGCAGTACATTAAATCTAACTCTAAACTGCTGTTATAGAAGTCAGTTTGGTTATAGGGCAACTAGAAGTTAGCCCTAAAATCTGCACAATGCAAATTCTCCTGGATTGCTACTAGTCAGACAAAGTGTCCAGCTAATCAGGAACTTAAAAGTAGGGGTGAGCATGGTTCCAGGTTCTACCCTGGAACCTGAGAACCTGACCAATGGAAACCTGTAAATTCCAGGTTTCAAGGTATACATAGTAGGTTCTAGGTTCCAAAAATTGGGGAACTTGTTTCGACGGGTCAGTTTCAGGTTCTAGGTAGGTGGAACATGGAACCTGAAACCTAAACCTGTCTTCTCGTGATCTTGCGGTGTTTCATGACTGATGAAAAACACAATCGTAATTTACTTAATCAAATTACATCATCTATATATATATAGTGAGCATTATGGTTCACTAATTATGGAGAAGACTAAACTACCCTTTCAACACTCCCCCTCAAGTTGGGGCATAAACATCAAAGAGCCCCAACTTGTTACACAAAGTAATCACTCTACTACCTTGCAATGACTTAGTGAAAAGATCAGCAAGTTGGTCTTCAGTCTGTGTGTATTGAAGTGTTATTTCCTTGTTTTGAATCTTTTCTCGCACAAAATAGCAATCTACTTCAATGTGCTTCGTGCGCTCGTGAAAAACTGGATTTGAAGCGATATGCATAGCAGATCGGTTATCACAACACGTAACGGAGGGAGTGAAGAAGACATACTAAGTTCGGATAATAACATCTTCAACCAAATCAACTCACTAGTCACATGAGCCATGGCCCGATATTCCGCCTCAAGACTCGATCGAGACACCACCCGTTGTTTCTTACTTTTCCAACTCACAAGATTGCCTCCCAAGAATACACAATAACCAGAAGTTGATCGCCTATCAAAAGGACAACCAGCCCAATCAAGCATCGAGTAGCCAATAACATCAAGATGTCCATGATTCTTGAACAATATCCCTTTACCCGGTGCTCCCTTCAAGTATTTAACTATACGTAGCACTCGCATCCCAATGTGTAGTACGAGGAGTACTCATAAATTGACTAACAAAGCACTAACCGCAAAAGAGATATCCGGGTCGGGTAACGGTTAAATAATTGAGCTTACCCACCGTCTCCGATACTTACTTGGATCATGAAGTAATTCACCTTGTTCTGCATCAAGCTTCACATTAGGATCCATCGGAGTATTAACAGGCTTCGCTCCAAGAAAACCAACCTCACTAAGAATATCCAATACATATTTCCATTGTGATAATGAGATACCATCACGTGAGTAGGCCACCTCAATGCCCAAGAAATACCGCAAACAACCCATATCTTTTGTGCTAAATTCCGCTGTAAAACCTGTTTCAATTTTTTATGCCCACGGAATCACTACCAAGTAATGATAATATCATCCACATACACAATCAGGAGAACACACCCAGCAGGGGAAGTAGAGCTAAATACAGAATGATCTACGGTACAACGTCGCAAACCAAACCGAATAACTGCATCACTGAAACGACCAAACCAGGCACGAGGAGACTGTTTCAATCCATATAATGCCTTGCGTAGACGACAAACACTGGTAGACTCCCCCTGAGCAACGAACCCCGGGGGTTGCTCCATATATACCTCCTCTACCAAGTCCCCATGAAGAAAGGCATTCTTGACATCAAGTTGGTGAAGAGTCCAACCATAATGGACAGCAAAAGAGATGAAAACACGAACGGAAGGTATCTTTGCTACAGGAGAGAATGTATCATCATAATCAACTCCATATGTCTGGGTGTAACCTTTGGCAACTAGACGTGCCTTCAGACGCTCAACAGTGCCATCTGGTTGAAACTTCACTGTGAAAACCCAACGGCAACCCACAGCCTGTTTCCCAGCAGGTAACGATGTAAGTTGCCATGTCCCATTATCCTGTAGTGCCTGCATTTCATCCTCCATAGCTTGTCGCCAACCTGGATGAGCAAGAGCCTCTGCAACAGTACTTGGCACAGACACAGCAGATAAAGAAGCAACAAACGAGGAATATGTAGGAGAAAGACAATTGTATGATAAAAATCGAGAAAGAGGGTAACGAGTATGTGTATGACAAGACAAACCACTATAAGGAGTAAACCGAGGATTGGGTTGACCAACACAAGAACGTGTACCTTTGCGCAATGCAATGGGAATGTCAGTAGTAGAATCAGGCTCAGAAGCAACTGGTGGATCAGAAGATGGGACATTGACTGGTGGAGAATCATGCATATCCAATGCAGGCGGTGATTGTACTACCTCACGTTGAACAGACCGGCGCCGTTGATAGGTCTTGTCGGCGAACTGAAAACTAGGCGATGACGTTGATGACTCAGGCATACTCGCTAAGGGAATAGGCGGTAGTGGAGCCATAGTCGAAGATGGAACATCTTCAGAAGGACCCGCTGTAGAGGAGTAATATGACTGATCCTCGAAAAAGGTTACATCTGCTGAGACATACAACCGCCGACTAACTGGACTATAACACTTATACCCTTTCTGAGTTCGAGAATACCCAAGAAACACACATTTGTGGGCCCGTGGATCGAGTTTATCATGACCAGGAGCAAGACGATGCATAAAACAGACACACCCAAACACACGAAGTGGTAAAGTAAAAAGTGGACTTGTGGGATGGATAGTGGAGAAAGGTATGCCCCCATGAAGCACTGAGGATGGAAGGCGATTTATGAGATAGCATGCTGTAAGAACAGCATGCCCCCAGTACATTTTGGGGAGGTTCATATGAAAAAGGAGGCAACGAGCCACATCCAGGAGATGCCGATTTTTTCGTTCAGCCACCCCATTCTGTTGGGGGGTATAAGGACAAGAAGTCTGATGCAAAATCCCATGAGATATAAGAAATGATTGAAAACCAGAGGAAACAGACCATATATTCTTTGGCATTATCAGAACGCAAATATTTAATAGAAACATGATATTGATTGAGAATTTCAAAGTAAAACATACGGAAACATGAAAAAACTTCAGTTCGATCTTTTATTAAATATAACCATGTCATTCGGGAATAATCATCCACGAATGTAACAAAATATTTATAACCAGACATATCGCTGACACGACACGGTCCCCAGACATCAGTATGGACCAACTCAAAAGGACTAGACACACGACGCTGGACACGAGAAGGAAACGACACCCGATGGTGTTTGCCAAATTGGCATGCATCACACTGGATAGGACTCATAGATTTTGAAACAGGTGAAAAATGACGAAGAATGTCAGGTGGTGGATGACCCATACGACAATGCATCTGAAATAAGTCGGAAGCAGTTTTCTTTTGAGCAGCCGCAGCAATGAGGTCTTTGTTCAGGTAGTACAGCCCATTGGACTCATGTCCGCCACCAATCATCCGTCCGGTCCTCAGATCCTGAAAGACGCAACGAGTGGAAGTAAACGTTACAGAACAATTCAAATCTCTAGTAAGAGAACTAACAGAGAGCAAGTTATATGGGAAAGCTGGCAAATGGTAAACAGATGAAAGAGTAAGAGAGGGACCCAAGGTTGCATTCCCTTGACCAGTGATATGGGACTGTGAACCATCAGCAAGTGTAACGGAACTAGGTGACATAGAAGTAATATCAGACAACAGCTTAGAATTACCGGTCATATGATTTGTGGCACCAGAGTCTACGACCCAGGAAGTGGGCGCAGAAGAGAGTAAACAGGACGGACTACCTGAAGAAGTCTGTGCCAAAGTAGCAGTAGGAGTAGAGGAATCCACCACCTGGTTGTGACGCACTAAGGACTCATACTCGGCACGAGTCAGCATAATGGTACTAGGTAACTCCTGTGACTGATCAGGAACCTTATGTACTGGAGATTCTACTGCTTCGGCATAAGCAGCCCGTGGACGAAGCTCAGGATGTAGGGTATAGCAATAAGACTCAGTATGGCCAGCTCGCTGACAATGGTTGCAATAACGAGAACTTCCGGCACCCCTACCACCATCTCGGCCACGACCAAGAGAAAAGATTGACCTGCCACGACCCCGAGGAACACGTCCTCGGCCTCCACGGCCACCAGAAGACTGAGAGACCATAGCACTTGCTACAGGTGCAGATGATAATGAGTCAGGCACACATCGAAGGACCCGAGAAAAGACCTCATCTACTGATGGAAGAGTACCCTGGGAGATAATCTGTTGTCGGAGAGAAGAATGAGTAGGACCAAGCCCCCGGAGAAATAACACAACTCTCATATCCTGTTGGCGCTTAGCCAACTCTCTAATGTTATCAGTGGTAGGCAAATAAGTATCCAATTTCTCACAAAGGGTGGTGAATCTAGAATAGTAATCAGATGCAGACATGTCTCCAATACGTAGGTCAAATAGCTCCTCCCACACATCACAAACACGGGTTATATTATCACGACCCGAAAACATAAGAGCACATTTGTCCCAAATAGCTTTGGCTGATGTACACTGCATAAACTGAGGACTAATCTTGGAATCCATGGTATTCCACAACAATGTTCGAATAGCAGCATCGCCAGAACGCCAATCATCCTCCTTTGTTTTATCCGTAGGTGGAGATGAAGTCAGATAACTCAGCTGTTTGGTGGCTAAAAAATATGTTTCGACTGCCATAGACCAAGAAGGGTAATTGGTCCCATCGAGCTTAACAGAGGTCAACTTCAGATTAGTGAGACTGGTATCCGTGTTTCCAGAATTGCCAGCCATAACTCAATAATAATATCAAAATAAACTTAACCGAAATTTGCACCTTGTGCACCAATTGTAATAATTACCACCAATTACCACCAAACATAATAACTCATCAGAACAGAAGCACAAATCAACATAGGGCATTAACAAACCCAATAATCAATCATCGCAAGTAAACTTCAACACGAGGCAGGGACTTTAGTTTTGCAAGAAAAGAACGCCTATGTGATATGCGTCGGGCAAATAATAGTGTGATTCACCAAAAATTAATAATCCCATTCTCAAATATTTCTTCTGGCTGCTGAACCTATAATGCTCGTTTACACTTGAGTATGAGCAAGGCCCACCTTGTGACTTCACATTCCTCTCACTCACCTTTTGACTCTGATGGACATCGTTGGCAGCTCTGTGGAACCAGCAACACTCATGAACCAGCAACCCTCGTAGAATCAGCAAAACTCGTGGACTCTGGAGGTCATCGTTGACGGCTCTGTGGAACCAGCGACGCTCGTAGAACCAGCAACACTCGTGGATTTCGTCGTGGCTTCACATTCAAACTCAAACTCAAACTCGCGGCTTCAGAACTTGGTGGAACATCGCCAGATCTGAGTTCAGCAAGGCCCAGCGATGCCGGACTAGAACTAGGCAATGTTGGCGCGACTCAGGACGACTCAAAGCGACAGTAACGAGGTGTCGATTTGGTGAATCGACGGATGAATCAATGCCGGAATGGTGTCGCAAGAGTCGCCGGAGTCGCGGGAGTCGTGGACGTTGTGGACGTTGCGGACGCCGGCGGTTGTTGCAGGAGTTGTGGTAGCCGCCGCCAGCGTAGATTCCAAGGCCGGCGGCAGTGACTTCTCCGGTGACAACAGTGGCCTCCGGTGGCTAGGGTAACAGTTGAAGGACTAGGGTTTTGTTTATTGGCTCTGATACCATGATGAAAAACACAATCGTAATTTACTTAATCAAATTACATCATCTATATATATATAGTGAGCATTATGGCTCACTAATTATGGAGAAGACTAAACTACCCTTTCAACAATGACATTAGATGATGAGTGTATGATCTGGAACTACTAGTCTGAGCTTTCATTTTATGACTTATTAATATTTTATATTCTTCGTATATCTAAATATAAATTATGGTTAGTGGATCATAGCAGTAAATGGTGGTTATTAAATGTAATGATTCACTGCAATTGTTCAATTAATAATACAGGTGGAACATGCGTAGAATCTGGAACCGACTCTCGAACCTGTGATAGAGTAGGTTCCAAGTTCCAAAAAATAAGGAATCTATTATCATGGATGGAACCTATACGGAACATGGAACTGCTCACCCCTAGTATTAATTCATGTAATGACTTCTCATTTTAGTTATATTTATTCGAATCGTAATACTAGGAAAACTAGTCTTTTGTATTCTCTTTGATGAATGACAAGTTTCTTCAGTATTGTTACGTTCATTTTTGTTTTGTTTAACTAAAAATACAATAAAAAAAAGAATCAATTAGATCCTGGAACCAACTCAGGAACCTGTTTCAGGGTAGGTTTCGAGTTTCAGGTTACGACGGGTAAGTTTTAGGTTCCAAAAAATGGGGAACCTGTACTCGAGAATAGATTCCAGGTTCCATGTGAAACCTGTAAGGAACCTGAAACTGCTCACCCCTACTTAAAAGTCTAATGGAGTAGCTAGTTTTCATATGTTCCTTTTTTTTTTTTGGTTGGAAATTCTTCATATGTTCGAGAGCTTAAAAAGTGAAGTTCTTGGAAATAATCAGCTCCAGATGAGAATTAACAGGTTGTAAGTTTGAATTGAAGCAGAACTCAAGTAGTTTCTTAGTATGCATGTTGATGAAGCTCCACCAGTCCGCAGGAAATAAGACCAGATCTTTTCAAGTATGGGGATCATTGTAAAGAAAGAATTATGTACTAATCCAGAAAGAAAGCCAATTGGTGCTTTTTTCTGATTCACGTACACTTCAACTGAGAGACATTGAATGCATGCTTGGCAAAACAGCATTTTTGGCTTTTGGTGGAAACTTTCTCCAGAAGAATCCAAGGCTCAAGGGTCCACTCAACCGGAAATTAACAAAGTCCCACGAGGACTTAAATACCTTCTAACCAGCCTGTCCCTTGATCCATATAACTGCCGGTATTCTATTTTCCTTTTTCCCTTGTTTTGGGTTGAAGAAAAGAAACGAAACCTTCATGAGTGACTTGCTTCACATGAACAGCCAATGTCATAGGTCAAACTAAGAAGGTGGCATTTGTTTATTCAACCCCTTTTGGCTGAGAGCTGTTTTATTAATTGTTCGCATCTCAGTTCGGTTGCCATTTCCCATGTATATATATTTACATGAAAACATGTAACAACAGGCGCAAAAATATAGGCTTTTAGCTCCACCAAAATCTAAGGTGTTGATGTCTGTCAGGCGTGTTTTCATGCTGCTTCTCTGAACTCCATCTTGTTGCTTCAGTTGTTCCAGTCAGATTGGTGAACCCTTTCATGTTTATGTTTGTTTGGGTCAAATGGAAAGGTAATACCAAGCCTTAATGTTTTATGTCCTGGAAAAAATGTCTGATTCACAGACTTCCTTGGCGCTTCCAGTTCTAGACATTTCTCAGCCGATTCAGCCTTCCTCTCTGTCTCCAATAGCCGACGCCTGTAAAGAATGGGGTTTTTTCCTCATCGCCAACCACGGGATCGCTAAAGATCTCTACGACAAACTCTACGCTCTCTGCAAGCAATTCTTTAGCCTCCCTCCTGACGAGAAACTCAAGCTTGGTCCATTCTCTTCCGCCAAGACTTACACTCCTCATTTCATAGCCTCTCCTTTCTTCGAAAGCCTCCGAGTGTCCGGACCAGATTTTCTAGCCTCAGCGCAGAGCTCTGCAAATATTATCCTTGATCAACAGAAACAAGAATTCTGGTAACACTGCAATTCTCTTGTCACAGCTCGTTTCTTTGTCTAAGCACTTGTTTGTATATTTTCTGAGGTTCTTTTTTTTCCTTCTCTGCAGTGAGGTATTGGAAGAATATGGAAGGAAGATGTCAGATTTGTCGAACAAAATCATAGAAGTCATGTTAATGATCTTGGGAGAAGGTTTCAACAAGAAATATTATGAATCCGATTTCAAGAATTGTCACGGGTACTTGAGAATAAATAACTACTCTCCTCCTGAGAGTCTCGAAAATGAGGTCGAAGGTCTTGGGATGCACGCTGATATGAGCTGTATAACCATCGTGTATCAAGATGACATAGGGGGACTTCAAGTGAGATCGAAAGACGGAAGATGGCTGGATATAAGCCCTCGAGAGGGTATTCTCGTGGTGAACATAGGAGACATGCTGCAAGCTTGGAGTAATGACAAGTTAATTTCATCAGAGCACAGAGTAGTCCTGAAGCAGCCGGCGCAGCGCTTTTCTCTAGCTTTCTTTTGGTCCTTTGAGGATGAGAAAGAGATATTGGCACCTGATGATGTGGTAGGAGAAGGAAATGTGAGGATGTACACGCCTTTTGTGAGCTCGGATTATGTCAAGTTCAGGGAAAGCACGGAGCGTGGGAAGTTCGAGAAAGTTGGCTTCACTGTTAAAGGATTTGCCGGGAGGGATTAAGGGGGTGGCTGAAAAGAATCCGAGTTCTAGTCCTAGCTTGTGCTGATAAACGAATCACCTTGTAGCCTCCGGTTTTTTTTCCCTATTCCAATGAAGCTGTTATATGTGAACTCATATCAAAATACCTCTGTTAAAAGCTGTTCAATAAAATGAGTTACGATTTCTACTTGATTTTTTTGTGAGATTTGTTCTCCTTTCAGGTTCGCTACAATCTTTCTAATTGTACATTTCTACATAAACATTTTGACGGAGCCAGAAATCCTTCTGGAATTGAAGTCCTTAGGTAAGAATGCTGCATTTCTGCTTTTCCCTTTCCTGCGATTATACAATAATCGAACGTGATCATATTTAGTGTAAGCATTAATTAATGTTTGATTCATAGGTGGATCCAATAACACGCAGGCACATGCAGTTTTCTTAGCTCAGGGTTTAACCAAATTTTGCGCATCAAGAAATGGAGGTCTAATGTATTAAAAGGTACACTTAGCTTTTGTATGGGTCCATGTTCATGTTTCTTTCTTCTCTGATGATAGTTTTATGTCGCCTGGACTTTCTTTAACAATTAATGCATGAAGCTGGCACTGCGCAACTTGTGCATTTTGTGCTGCATTTTGCAATTGAATAATCTCACCAGTTTGCCATGCTGTAGACTAATTATTTGATCTGCAGAGACAGAGGCAATGGAAATAGGAGAACTGCAGTTGGTCATCTCACTTCATGTGCAAGAATACAAGAGTCGGCTTTCTATAAAATAATGGTTCACCCATGTGAGATATGTATAAAGTCAAAACACACATTGTGGAAGATCCTTAATTTTTGCAAGAACTTTTTAGCTGCATGAGTGAATTCCCAAATCGTTGTTCTTGACATTATGACCCAGCTAGAAATTTTGCTCCTTTGGGGGAAAGTGCCCAAGTTTGTGCAAAACTATGAACAATTAATATATATTGTGTGTATGCGTATGCTTGCGTGCGCGCGTGAGAGAGAGAGATGGATGCAATAGTTTATTGAGAGCTTTTGAGCTAACTAATAGAAACACCCCTAAATGGACATGCAGATTGCAGTATATATCCCATGATCGCATATGAACGATTCCAACTTCGAAACCATCCATTCTATCTTTAAGGTCACACCTCTCCTTTCTCAAATAGTGAGATTTACTTGTTGCTTTATTTATTTTTTTTAGGATGGAAATCTCCTTTTGTTTGTGTCCAGCATAACAAGGAGGAAGAAAAGCACAGATTGCTTGGATCACATAAGATTGCCTTTATTATAAAGTGGCAAAATGAAGATTAGATTGTGGCACTTCTAGTATTAAAAGGATAGCACTATACAGATATGAGGCTCCCCAGTTGGACTGCATCTGGGAATCATTCTAAAAGATGAAATTCTCTATCAGCCTTTTATGCAGATTTATTCTCCAAAGAGCAAATTGATAGGTTTCTCAATTTTCATTTCCGAAACTACAAGGACCGAGGTAGATGAACAGTGGTTTTAGTTTCTGTAGGTCATGTGTCATTGGCAATGAAATTTGAATCAGGAACCACTGGCAGAATTACCTCAATACAATAGCAACGTTCTTCATTACTAGTACAAGAAAATTCTTATAAATCCTAAAAGCTGAACATTTAGCAAGAATTGGTTTTGAAAGTAGCCGAACCATACGCTTACAGAAACATAAAGAGATCGCCTACCCACTTGAATAACCGAGCACACAATCAATTACAACTGCACTTCTCAATACTTCCCAGTAATCTTCCAAAGGACTTGTCTGATCATCCCAGCCGGAGATACTGCTGCGCCTCGAAACTGAGATTAAATTCAAGGAAGGGTCATTGTTAGGGTGAAATGTCGAGAACAAACTCATATTTGATTTGCTAATTTTGTTGAAACTGGGGCACTAACCTTAGACTTGAGGGATAATGTGAGAACACCATCTAGTGTAGCTGACTGAATTGAATGAGAATCCAAGTGCAGGTTGTTTACGGCCTCCAGTATATCAAGCAATAAGTACTCCCGATAGGGACATTTCATCTCGATCAATACTTCCTGCTCCTTTACGTTGACTTTGACATCTGTCTGAAGCCCATCTCCTTGAGCATTTCTATCAAGTTCGGCATCGGTTTCATCGATGTTGGAGGCCTTCCTCTTGTTTATCCAGCGTTTTTTGCAGTTATCTGATGTCTGCTCTATCATGTCTGGCAATTTGTTCCTGGTAAATTTCCCCTCAAAGTCGGTTGAGTCCATGCAAGATTCTAGTTCTTCCACTCTTGCTTCAAGCTCTCTTAGGTACAGAATTGTATCATCAAGGATGGATGCTTTATCTATCTGCATAAGCATGATCAAGCTGTAAAAATCCTAAAGCCATGTCCTGGAATCGGGAAAGACATAATTCTGATATTTTCAAATGAAGATGCCATCAATATGATATGCATTCATAGCAAATATATGCTAATAGAGAAAAACTAAAAACATTTCATGAAAAAATTACCTCCTCGATGGAAGGAATCATGGACCTGAGGACCAGAAACTTTTCATGTTCTTTTTTCTTGGTAGACAATATGAGGCCAGCGCAAAAATCAACATCTCCCAGCAATGATTTCGCACCATTCTCTTGCTCAGATTTAAGAGCTTGACCACGGTGCATCAGTGGAACTTTGAACAAAATCTTCTTCAGAGTTTCCTGGTGTGCTCGCGCTTTATGAGTCTCAACCACCCTCCACCTCACAAAGCTGGATTTGCATCCACAGCTGCAGATACACCGTGTCTCAGGCAATTGATCAGGGTTCCTTAGAACAGCAGAAATTGTTCTTCTGTAATGCGAGATGTCATCAGCTCCAAGATCCAGGGAGCTTAATTTTGAGTGGTTGCATTCTTGAAGTTCTTCCAAGTGGGCTTTCTTGCCATTTTCTCGCCCTGGAGATGAAATATACTTGTCTTGGTTCACAATAGCTTCGGATATACAATCACTAGAATTTATTGAACCTTGAACACCATTACTGAAGTCATCATCAACAAAATGCCAACTTTGAACTTGTGATGCCCCTCCGTTCATACCGTCGACCATAAACGAATCTTCGGTTTGGTAATTGTGTTCACACCCATTTGAACACTCATCAGGAGAGTCCATATCCAGTTCTTTCGGGATACTTTCATGTAATTCACTTATGTTCTCCGGGTCAAATTTGATTTCTTGAGCGGGTGAATATAGGTTCTCCAAAACCAACTCATCCACTATGTCACAGTCGACCTTGGCACACATAGGCTCATTATCAGCATCTCCATTGCGTGGTATAGAGGAAGATTTCTCAGAACAAATCGGCTTGGAGAAATCTAGTAAAGAAACTTTGATGTGTTGCAGCAGACTAGGGTCCTCCGGTACCTAAATGCAAGACATTCCATAGAACGAAGAATAAGATAGAATTTATGTCAGTGGTGCACATATAGATCTAGAATATAAGGTAATCCACTCCAGCAGCACAACTTACCAGCTCGGTCACACCAAGCTCAATCACGCCTCCAAGATAGGGAAAACATACCACAGTCTGGAAATCACAGCAACAGAACCATGTCATGATGTCAGAAGCAATGGAATCATTTTCACTGTTAATGTCTACAGAGATTGTGAAATTAATTAGATAGACCAGACCATTCAAGCCTGCTGCTGGAGGTCTTATTCTTGAACATACAACAACTTTTTTGTTAAAGAAATATCGAGATCTTTCTTTCTTTTTGTGTGTCACTTTAACTGTAGGCGGAATTATATTTTTGCTGTTTAGTAGAACCATGAGAAAGTGTTACATAGTATAATGTAATATTTGGGTACACGTTTTCTTTCCCAAGCTTTTAAATGGTACAACAAGGGCAAAGACTTGACCAAGTGAATCTTTCTCTTTTTTTCCCAGGATTTTAAACGTACTCTCTCTGGCAAAAGAACCACTTTTTTTTTAGCCGGAAGGCAAAAGGAACAAGTTGAAGTGCAAGCAATCGACAAGAACATCAAACTAGTTTGTTTTTTTGAGTAAATGGAAGTAATTCAAGTGCAAGCATTTCACAGTCTAGAATCTTTTACACGCGATGCACATGCACACAAGGTGCACACACCATAGACTAAGCCCGTGAAGTTGTGAAAGCAAGGCGTGAAATTGTGCGTGAGAGAGAGAGAGAGAGAGGGAGAGAGGTACCTGAATAGATGCACTCTGTGCATTAATTGAACCCGGTCCAAAGAAAATAAACACAGAAAACACAGAATTAGTTCTCGCTAGGCAAACCGTGTATCTTTACTAGAGCATCAGCTGAAATAAAGGCAATTACAAAACAAGTTTAAGGCTTTTAAGCCCCTAAATCCCAACCTTTGCAAGTAGTGAGCGAGAAAACACTTTGCTATCTGCATATTGAGCATTACATAGCCAGATTGTTTGGCCATCCGCTAGCGCTCTTCCCGGAAGACTACATATGTTAAAATTATCATGTCAATATGGCACGAAAAGAAGCAAAAAATCACTAATAAAAAGTATAGAGGAGAGAAAACTAACCCTTCGCCAGGATTGAATACAAAGGACATGCAAACCAAGTAATACCACTCTTCATCTGTGAGATCCTCTGGAGATAATGCAGCAGAGGGCCGCTTGTTTTGTGCATCAGTTTCCCCTTCAAGTAGGGACTCGTAAAGATCTCTCAATTGCTCACTCCTCTGTAAGCCGATCTTATCAGGTTTAAGCTCCACGGCTTGGACTGTCTTCCTGGTCTTGATGTCACCATTGTAGTAGCCATCACCCCATTGTAGTACACTTCATTAAAGATAAGAAAACAAATGAGAGGCATGAACTATTAACCAAGTTCAAAAGCAATTCTACGTAATGTACAAGAAACAAAGAAGGCGTAACATGTATGAAACTCTTAGGAGTCCTGGATAAGCAATGTTTCATCTGAGAATGACAAAGCAAAACAGATATTATTCCAAGATGAGAAATTTTCTGTGACAGCAACTTTGAAAAATATATATGTTGCAAGAGTTTTAGTATAAAGGTTTCTTCTTTTTCACTTCAGGACATCTCTCTAATTTGGGAAGAGAAGGTAGAACATGGATTTGAAGCAACCGCTGACCTCTCATATTTAACAGAAAGGAGATATTCGACATTCCACAGAAAACTGTTTTCAAAAGTATAATACATTTATGGCATACTCAAAAAAGAGCGCATTTTCTTTCTAAGCTCTAAAAGCTACTTTTGATTACTTTCACACACACAAACTTCAACTGCAGCTCCATTTTTCTTCGAAGACGAGGATTCCTCTGGAAGGACAACTTTGGCTTCAATGAGAGCTAAATTCAAGTGCATCTGGGGAATGAGGACACTGTTCGGTGTTCACTCTACTCCATATGACCAAACCAGATTCAACTCTCTCCTTTACTAAACAAACCAAGCAGAATCAAGAATCCTGACACTCATGACCTTAAAGACAAATGCTAAAACCGAGCTTTTGAGCAAGTATGAAGCTGCTTTTGTAATATGCAGAAAAAGCCACATTAAACCAGAAAAACAATCAATCATCCCTGAAAATGGCAGCTTAAAATATCATCACCAGACATTTAAAGCACCATACCGTGTATGGATCGATCAACTGCATTAAGAAACCTGACTTTGACCAGGACATTTTCCCAATTTAAGAAAAATTAACCTCCTTTAAGAAGAACCACAAAATTAAAAGCGACTCTGAAAGAGGAAAACTTGGTAGATCTAGTAAGCAACACAGATTGACAACGAGAAACACATCACACACCCTTGTTTTGTAGCTGATAGTGACCAGAAAATTGCGTAGCTCCATTGGATACTCCTCACAGCCACGGCAAGCTGCTTTCTCAGGTTTGCTGGTACACCTTCATTGCCTTCTACGCCAGTAGCCATTTGAACAGCTTTCTTTTTACGTTTGCTCTAAAGTTTAAATTGCACAGTCACAAGATTTAAGAACCCATGTGTGATAAAAGAAGAAGTGGGTTCTCTTCTTTGGGCAGAAATCTTGAGTCTTTTACAGCTCTTTTAACTCTCTCAGCTCAGCAGATGTCGAGAAAGGACTCAGAAAAGGTAGCTACTGTTTTCTGTCACTTGTAATTCTATTGAGCAAGATTCGGTTGGACTCTATTAAATTGGATTCCATGGACAAGAGAAAAGGAAAGAAACTATAAACAATGAATGCTGAAGAGACCCCAACTGAACTGAGGATTTGACAAGAATATGAAGGACAGAACTGTTCCTTTCCATAATAATTTCCTGAGAGTTAACCAGTGATGATCTCTCTTTTTCTTTTGTATTTTATCGTATCATTAAGAAACAGACAGGACTCATTCAATAGGGAGTTATTATAATCAAACTAGCGATTAACAAACTTCTAAAGTAGTCAAATTTACTGTTTGTGCTGCCCTTTTATTATCCGAATTTTTGTACGTGCTGATAAAAAGAGACTGCAATCATTTGAAGTGGTGGGGATCACATTTTCAGGCAACCAAAAATTAAAAAAAAAAAAAGTCAAATTCAGGAGACAAAATCTACGTGACACATACATACATATTACGTAGAGATGACGTGCTATTTGTAGCGTATGTTATGCCTTTTCTCCTCCTTCTCCTTCTTTTTTTACTGTTCTTTATGCTGATGCATGCATCTTCATAAAAGCACCAATCTTGCAAGTAGATCCTGCTGAGGAAACCAAGACAAGAAGGTGGGTTTTGAATTAAGAGAGAGAGAGAGAGAGAGAGAGAGAGAGATATGTCACGGCAAAAGGATAAAAAGTAAAAGGAAAAAAAGAGGAGGGCCCATTTTTGAAAGGTAGCAACATTGACATACATTATTGTAATAACTTTTCTTGTTTGGGTCTTCTTAAAAGCTGATGTCTCTGCACACACAAGGAGGCATGTGGTCTTCCCCCATCTCCCAGTCACATTCACAAAACCCAGAAGGCAAGAAGCATAAAGAAGTAAAAAGCTGAACCTCTCATTCTCCATTGAAAACTTGTTCCGGGTGGATTGAACAATCTGAATCGAGCTCAAAGGGTTGTATTTGGACACTCAGCACTCGACATTTTAATTTCGATACCAAAAAACGAACGCCGGATTAACATACCGGCGCAAAAGAGTCGGGTGCTTAGAAATCCTCGAAGAACCAGCATAAAGAAGTAGGCGACAGATATGACGACAGACCGAGCAAAGAACTCACCTGAGCCATGTGTGACATCCTTGGACTAATTTATTAAGATATTGTCCATTTTGACTCGTCTTATATCAAACCACCGAACCTCACGATTTTGTCCTTTGACGTATAGGTGATCATTTTTTCATAAGGTCACCCATCTTGAGAGTGCTTTCATCTGAGCACGCTTAATTTTGAAGTTTCAAAGCTAAGCATTGCCCTTACGTAAAAAAGCGTCTCCATGAGTTAATTTTAATTTTCACATATATATCTCAGAATCGCTTTCTCCCTGTTTAGTGCATAGTTCGGTTTATTCCTACTTCCTTCGCCATCCTAAAAACCTATCAAAAGCCGCTCCTTGTACAGACTCTCTGGCCCTAGCGACCACTCCCCTCCCTCTTAGGACCGAATCATTACACCATGTCCCTCTAACTGCTCGGTGTTTAACGTGGTCTTTCTTGTCGGACAGATACTATAGATTATGAAATTTTCATGCAGAAATCTCACGCCTCGCTTCTTGAATTATGTTTTGTAGTAAGTTCTTTAGTCTTGCCTCTCCTTCAAGGGTTCTCTTCTCCATCCATGCTTCGAGCTGGAACGCTAGCTCTACCACAGATGCTGCGAACACATCATGAGAGGAGCGAAAGCCAGATGACGAGCGGTGATGAGTTGTTCATGGTACACGCAGCTTTGTGTCGGCACAAAACTGGGGCTTGTCTTTGTCTTTTACCTTGTTTGGAAGCGGGTGATTTCCATCTCCCGATGCATCATTCACACTGATTCTGACTGTTGCTCACTTGTCCCCTCCTCCATCAATTTAGTCACATGTCACGTGACCAAAAATTTCTGCATACAAATCAATAATATTTGATTCAATTCTCGATGCGTAGCTCCAATTATAAGCGGTCCCAAACACGGCCACATCATTATTTCGTTCATCGTGGAGAATCATATGGAGGAGTCGTGACTGGTCTTGTCGTTTTCTGTGCAAATATTCAGAATTAGACAGAGGCCTCGAATTCGAATCCTGCCTTCGAAGTTGATCATGGCGTGTCACGCTGGAAAACCAATCGCATGGAGAAGAGAAAACGAACAGCTGACGCTATCATGAGAATGGCTTTGGACCCAAATTTCATATACATATTCATACGTATTGTACATCAAACTTTCAGATGTGTATTGTATCAAAATAGGAATATTTATATTCCAAATACTTAATTTGACATGCTTAGTATATAGTATTACGATAGTTCCTACTGGTCGAATTGGATCTATCTACCGACAAAGGGTGGGGGACCAAGGTTAAAAGAAAGTCTTGCTAATATATGCATGAACTAATGTAGCCGTGTAAGCTGTAGTTTTCCTTACTTTTGGCAGGATTTTCTTGGGTTTGGAGAGCTCTGTGACTCTTATCAAACCGTTCTTGCAACGTGCGCTCGCTTGATATCATTTCTCCCGCATGCTCTACACATATGAAAACCCTGGCAAATCATACGACGACTTTCAAATGTTCTCAAAACCGTCAGAGAACGGCGCATCGTGCTCTTGCAATCTGATATACAGATCGACGTCGATCCAAGAAAGAAACAGTGAGAGCCATCGCCATCTCCATTTACTCCATAGTATCTTGATCTACATGATGGGATGACTCTGGCGATTAAAATAGTTCATGCTTCTCTGTACTCGGTGAATTTCTGATCCATGTCCATCGGCGAATATCGAACATCCACGAATATTACTTATAGATATATACATGCAGACAGTGAATTCTTGCTGATAAGAAATTGGGCACTTGCAAAGCTTTTGTTGGGTAGTCTGAACAGTTGTTTTGCTCGTTGTAGTTTCCTCTCGGACAGATAGAATAAGACGAGGGAAAGCTACAAGGGGAAGCAGGGAGATCGGCCAACAAAATCACGTGGCGTGATCAAGAAGCGATTGATCAAATTCGGAATCCATGCGTTTGTCCCCCCCCAAAAAAAAAAAAAAACACATGTTCTCTCCCAAATGGAGCCCGTGACTACTGCACAAGGTCAAGAATGATTGGTTCACGTTTGCTTTTTCTCCTTTTAATAGCAAGGAAACAGCATGAGTTACACGGTAAAGTTTGTATTATGTGTTGTTGGGTTCTACGCACTAATTAAGTTTTATCTTTGAATGTTATTTCCCTCGTTGAGACATGCGCGAGTCAGGCGATTGACAAAGCAAGCAAGTCACGAAAATGTAGGGTTTATCGACAGTGCAACTACGATCAGCACGTCTCGCCGGTTTACCGGGACAAACAAATAGGAACGAAACTACATTGATGTGTTTCGTCACCTCGCGATGAACTAGCACCCCAGACATACTTATTAAGCAGTCGGTAATGTTTAAATAGACGATACTTGGATAAAGAACACCATAAGTACCATAACTTTCATACGACGCTTACTTTAATATCATAACTTTTTTCTTCTATCACTTGAGTATCAAAACTCAAACAAAAAAAAAAAAAAACCGTTCACTTGAGTTCTATGACTTTCAATCGATTATTTAAGTGTCGTGACTTAAAAAAAAAACATTCACCCAAGTGTCGAAAACCCGACATGGCACGGCAATTGTGGTAAGCATTTTTAAAAAGTTACAGTACTAAAGTGATCGGTTAAATAGTTATATGGCACATTGGCACTCAAATGATCGGAAAAAAAAAATTATGACACTCGAGTGAGCGCCCCTCGCATGAAAGTTATGATACTTACGGTGGCCTATTTCCGATAACCCGAGCAGCCCATATTTTTCTTACAATAAAAAAAATACCCCACTTCTATAAGATGATGCCACACTTTGGGCAGGTCCATAATTACTTACATTATCCCTATAATCGAGGAGTGCAAAATAGATAAAAAAATATACGATTTTTGTCATTACCAAGGAAGCTGCCCGGAATGATCATGGAAACAACGTGACCGCTATAAAGGACGGCCATACATCTTCCGAGACATTCGAGTGCTCGGACCCCCCCGCACCATTTTCATCGTTGTTCTCTGCCATGAACGCAGACGAAATCGTATATTAATCGTGCGTGGGGGGGAGGGTTGTAATGAATGGGGGGTACTTATGGGGATGAAGACAAACCCCGTGCCCTGGAATAAATAATTAATGAGGGTGGAAGGGTTTCTTTCCCGCGGTCGGGGGTCGATACGACGTCGTTTTTTCCGGCCGGGATCCTCCTCTCATTCATTGACCTCGGGACGATCTGTCTATTGGTGCGCACGTGAGTTGGTCGGATGCTCGAGCTCGACTAGGAATCATAAGGGGGTTCGCATCCCTCCTTGCCCACCACCCGCCCAAAAGGAGAATGATCTTTCCCTATGGGAGTAGGAAAATCATAGCCGAGATAGTAGATCCAAGGCTATAGAACTTAGTGCGGGTCCTTTGTCGAAATTTAATGGCCTTCTGTTTTTCTTTTTATTTACTATTTCTCGATAAGGGTTGCAAAATGAAATATAATATGCCTCGACATATTTTTTTTTTCTTTTGTTTTACCCCCCTGCAACTCTTCCTCAGCCAGGCTTGGTCAAAATAGCAGAGCAGGTCAAAATAGCAATAACATGGCAAAAATGAGTTCCTCGTCATTAGTATGTTTACCTGCGACAATCGTTGCCTCTCGAGAGAATCGATAACCGCATCTCTGATGCACTTGCCAGTACTAATGGCCTTAAACTGTACTTAAAAAAGTGGCTCTTAGGCTTCAAGAGTGAGGACTGGTTCTTAGACACCGGGACCGGCCTCCTAAATGCTTTTGCTAAAGGCACTATTGGACAATGCTTTTTAAATTCGAAATCTGACAAAATGAGCCCACGAGATTCTCGCGTAAGAGAGATGGTGAAATTATTTTTCGAGACATTTTATTATAAATCGACAAAGAATACGACCGACGAAAATCATCTCTATCGAATAAAAGAATTCAAATTTAGAAAACGTGATTAGGTTCTTAATACATGTCTTAAGGTGGCTCTACAAGATTGTGCATTTATGTACTTACGTCGTCTGTCCCAATATCCACGTTCTCTTCACACCCGGAATATCAGCATTGAACGCAGGAGGAGTTGGTGCGTGGGGTTGTTTCGTCTGCGTAGCACGTTCGATTAGGACAAAAAGAAAAACACAGATTTATTTCGAATGATACCGACATATGTGTGGGCCTGGATATCTCTAGATGGTCCGATCTGAAGCTAAGCAACGTGGATTCTCTTCATGCCCCGTTTAGAAATATCGAGTGTGGCAACAAATTTGGCCCAGAAGATCCAACCAAAGGCCCAGCAAACCCAATAAACGTCCGACCCACCATCCTGCGATGAATGAGGTGAATTCCGACATGTTTTGGTCATCCTTTGTGTGAATGCTTCGCACCGAACATTCATGGCATAAGTTGGCCAGATGGGGATAGTTCTTTTCGGGCCAAAAGACGAGGAGGTTGATGTGTTACCAGTAAAGAGAAGAGAGGAGCTGATGAGAGTCCGACTGAGAGATGTTATGAGATCTGAAGAACTGCAAAAGGAGAGGAAACACGTAATGCACTTGCCTGCACAATATCTTCCAATTTGAACTGCTGGACAAGTCAAATTCTGTTTGCGGTGCTAGTTAACCCGTACTTGAAATGCAGCAAAGGGCAATGAGTCGAAAAATTATAACAACAGAAAAGAAAAGCTTCTACTCACTGGTAACGATTTGTAGAAAAGCAGACCATTAAAGCTATAATCACAACCCGAGAGAGGAATTGACACATCGACTCTAGCTGTACAAAACAGCGCTGCTGCGAAATCAATGAGCTAGCTACTACTTCAGCTGTTTGATGATTCCTTTCGGTTAAATGTGGAGTGGATGCGAATGGTGCTGTGCTCCTGCGTGCTCAAATTGTCGATCGACGAAATACAGTCTTTCATTCTCTTCAAGAGAATGGGCACCATGGAGGCATTCGCTGCTGTTTTCTCTTTAAGCAATTGGACCTTCTTCGATATCTCTGCATGTCTTTCGACCGCTACTGACATTTCTCCTGCACCTATAAAATTCTCGGAATCAGTGCTAACTTTGGTTGAAGTAATGCGAGCAAGATACTGATACAACACAAGGTGATGCAGCATGGAGCATGCCAAAACACTGAACAGAAAATTTAAAAACAGTTGGCTCATTGAGCATCCACAAGCATTGCACTGACAATAACAAAATCGTATAGCAGTTTGCTCCACGAATATATTGTTACTTTGTGAGACAATCACCGAGTCAGGTGTAGAATTTTAGTCAGTTCATGGTAAATTCCCAATTATCGACAAGTTAAGAAGTATTACTCCAAAACCTAATGTCTCCATGGATGACTTCTGCCCAACAGCAAATAATTTGATTTACCGAACATGCTTTCAGGTTCTCTTTTGTTACTCACTCCATCACATCCCCTATTCTCTAGATTACAGAACGAGACGACATTAACACTGAACCAACGCTGACCAACGAAGAACATTCAGGTCACCATCCCACTTTTTTCCCCTTCATACCACCAAAAAGCTCACACAAGACTTGATTGCTGTTGTTGCTACCCCAAGCAAAGTCAACTAAACTAGGCAGATAAACAAATGCTAGGCCTAACCCATGATTCTACTGACAAGGAATCACATCTCACCCGAGGCTTCAGCATCATGACAGGCGAGAGAAAAAGGTTTTCCATGCCCCTCCGAAGCCATAAATAACTCACACATCCGAGATCATCTTCCTCATACATAATCTACATCCACAACGAGCACACAACGTAAAACATCCCGCATCGCATATGACGTTCGGCCTCCTCTACATGCTTTACACCTGGTGAATTACCAACATAACAACGAGCAAAACTCAACAACAACAATAACAATCAGCAATGCCTACTCAAACTCCACAAAAAAAAAAAAAAAAAACCCCTTGCCCAGCATCACAAAAACCGGGAGCATCTTTGTTTAGACAGCATTTTTCCAAGTTTTAACCCAACATAATCAAAGCATGCATTTTTCAAGTCTCCCCCCACCACGTACATCTTCTGCTTCTCATGCATTTCTCTGGGACTGTACTACAATACAATCACAGCCTGCTCAGGCTCAATCCCAATCAAAGTCGCATAGTGTCCCGAGAGAAGACAGACACCCACAATCGAAGCGCGCTTAACATACCTTGGTCGGAATCCCCTGAAGTTCCGGGCCGGGAGCCGGCGAAGTCGAATCTCTCGGCGGACTTGAGCAACTCGAGGGCCTGCTTGAGCTGGTCGGGGAGAGCCGTGCGGTAATGGAGGATCTTCTCGGCCATCCGCGACACGTCCGACTCCAGCCTCTCGATTTCCTCCGCCGATTCGTGCCCTACTTCGGCATCCTCGGGGATTTCGGCGGACGCGGGAGCTTCCAGGGTTCGGAAGGTGCTCATCGCCATGGGATCGAAGGAATCGGTGATGTTGGTGTTCTTGAGCTTCTGAATCTTCGATCGAAGCTTTGAAAGTTTGAAACTTTGGAACGGAAATGGCGGCACTCCTCACTGGCTTCAGTGCTGAAAAGATCGGGCTCGTCTCGGGTCGGGTCGGGTCGGGTCTTTTTTGGGCTTGCATTTTTCCAGTGTTTGGAACTCGGTCGAGCTTAATTAAAGATTCGAATTTCCTTTTTTTTTGTTAAGGAAAAAAATATATTCAGATTTCCTCCTCCAGCTCTATTTAAAATAAACCAAGATTATCGCAATCAGTAAGCTCGTGCTCAAGCTCGAATTCATGCTTAATAAAGTCGAATATTGTCCCTTGAATATTTATAAGATACATTATGTACTTTTAAGGATTTATATATCTACTTTAAAGATATAGAATAAAAATTCAATTTAGGGTCATGAGCCTGAGCCTCTCAAGTTGATTATTAACGAACGCTAGTTAATTATTCGAAATGCAAATATACTGATTAATTGTTCACACTCTACCTAAATTTACCAACTTCGTATTATACATTTACCAAATCTAACCTTACTTACCACCGTGGTGTTTGATTCAATGATTTAGAATTTGGTTCGCCCGTCAAAAGTCACGTACTCGATTTAGGCTTACCACTGTCCTATTCTCCCCATTCAATATTTTGCAGGTTGGTTAACCAATTTTTTTTTTAAATTTTTACTAGATAAACAACATAACAAACCACAGCAAGAGGATTATAAAATAAATAATGCCAGAGATTGCAAAATTGGTGGCTTTTGTTATTGCTAATGAATTTTCCCATCAAAATGAGAAAAATTTACATATTGAAATACATAAAAAATATTTTTCTGCTAGACTTTAGATTCTGATACAAAACGACAAATCTTTGAAAGCAAAACCACTCCAGAAATTGGTTGGTACTTTGTTTGTTTTTCTTCCCTTGTGCTCTCCATTCACTCCTACTTCTGTGGGTTCGTCTCTCTCTCCCCTCTTCGTTCTTCATCGTGATGAAGAAAAGTTGAAGACCCAGATTCTTGGACTTGTCTCTGAAGACGCAATGGTTGGAGGTCGGTTCATTTGCTTCCCAAAGTGTTTGCCTTTTTCCCTTTTGGACCCTTTTCTTATCCGTTGAGCTTCTGCTTTTCTGAGTTTCTCGGGGTGCATTTCCTCTCTTGTTGACGACGCGATGATGATGCATAGCAGACAGAGGATGGGTCGCTCTTGACGTTCTTTTCTGGGGTAGAGATGTTAGTGTACTCACGCACGTATGCTGTTTGATAGAATGCCCGGTAGACAATCGTGAACAAATTATGTTAGCCGTGTGATGTTTTGCCAAAGCTGCTTACTTGGACATTTTTCCAAAGCTAAAAGCGCCTGTGCTCGACAATTATAGTAGACCGAGGGATGGGTCACTCTTGATGTTTTTCTGTGGTAGAGAGGTGAGTGTACTTACGGACGTATGCTGTTTGATAGAATGCCCGGCAAACAATCACGAACATTTATGTTAGCCATGTGATGGTTTGCCAAAGCTGCTTAGTTGGACATCTTTTCAAAGTTAAAAGCGCCTGAGCTCGAAAGCTGCGTAAGGTGAAAGAGGAGCTGCGAGTGAGCTCAGAGGACCACCGTCTTTCATTACTTTTGGATTTGATGTTTTGGACAGATTCCGAGAAAGACCCACGTGTTAGTTTGTGAACTAGGCTTGTGTGTTTGATAAATGATTACCCATGATGATGAGTTTAAATGCCGAGTTAATGTCTCTAACGTGGCCTCCATCTTTTAGAAGGATGGGCAGTTGGATTGCTCAACTATGTGGGGCTGCTTTGTTTGCAATTTGGAAAACCAAGATAATGTCACCAGGCAGGAGAACCATGCTTTTGTATGATTTCTGAAACAAATTGCCTTGGCACGTGTCTATGCACACATTTGCAAATTTGGCTATCATACAAATTGGAAAAATGAAAAAAGAAACTTAGGTTAGGTATTGCACATTACAATGTATAGCTTTTGCTTGCATTCTCACATAGTTTTTCTTCGATCATTTAGGAAAATTTGCTTAGTGAAAGCTAGCAAAATGTTTTGGTTACTTAATAATCCCACATATAACCAAGCATCCTCGTGGCTTAGCTCTTTCAGTTCTATTTGTTTTTATTATTGTCAAATTTTTTGGAAACATGTTAGCAACTACTCTTTCCACTGTTTGGATCGGTGAGTGTCCTTAATACTGCACTAATACCATAACAACTTAATCTAGCACTTCAGCAGTGTCGTGCTATCTTATACTGGTTTGTTTTGGCTTAAATCAGGTTATGTCATGGGTGGTGGTTTATCCGAGTTGTTCCATATCTGTGCCTAATTTACCTGACTATATCTGCTTCCAATTAAAGCTTTGATATTTGCATACAGCTTCTTTGGAAAAGTCCAAAAAAGAAGACACTCCTTTATGACACTAAGTTAACTTTATTACCCTGGACTGCCTCTAAATTTTGCCTTTCTCATCTCAGTATATTCTGAGGAAGAAAAATAAAATGCAGTTCTTAGAACTTTCTTTTCCTAATCCTCTCACCCCATCCCATTCGCCACCTTCTGCTCATTTCTCAACTTCTATTTTACCGTCGCATCAACCCATCAAACCTGGATACAACTCAGGGTCAGTTCCTAGATTGTACACATCATTCGGAAAGTTCTCTAGGCCACTCGTTAGTTTGGGAAAAAGCAGCCGTTCAGTTAGAGTTCGTTGTGGAATGATAGACCATGATGACAGTTTTTACATGAGGAGGTGTGTGGAGCTTGCAAGGACAGCGATTGGCTGTACAAGTCCCAATCCTTTGGTGGGATGTGTAATTGTCAAGGATGGGAAGATCGTCGGTGAAGGATTCCATCCTAAAGCTGGTCAGCCTCATGCTGAGGTCAGTTACATTAGCTCATGTTAAGGTTTCACCCTCTATCTTTAGTTGCTTAATAACTAGGTGATAAAAAACTCACTTTTCCTCCTTCTGGAGGACATTGCATTGTATTTTGGTTGGTTTCTTCCGCTGGCTGGAGAAGGTGGTGGGGGGGCAATGCCACTGTGACCACTAGGCTCGGAGCTTCAACCCTCAACCTTCCAAGTAGATGACAGTAATGCAGGGCAGTCCCCCTTGGGCCGGAGTTTAGCTCTCCCGTGACTTCACCCAGGTCACAGCTGAGGAACTTGAGATATTAATGCTGCTTGTTCACATCTTAATTGATGATGAGCATTCTCTGTCGCTGTTCTAAAGTTGAACAGTTACGGGTTCCAGGTTGCCAGCTAGTATTGATAAGCAACTTAAATAATTCCCTGCAGAATATCCTTGTATCTTTTCCTAGTATTCTATGGAATAACGAAAATTGTGAATCCATGATTTAGGTTATGAAATTTCAAAGTCTATCTTCCTGTCTTATAAACTAGTTGCATCACAACACCCACGTGCAGGTGTTTGCTTTGAGAGATGCTGGTGATTTGGCAGATAATGCAACTGCTTATGTGAGCTTGGAACCATGTAACCATTTTGGAAGGACTCCACCATGCACAGAAGCGCTGATCAAAGCCAGAGTAAGAAAGGTGGTAGTTGGGATGGTAGATCCTAATCCACTTGTGGCTTCAAAAGGTATTGATAGATTAAGAGCTGCGGGGATCGAGGTGACCGTTGGGGTGGAGGAAGCGCTGTGCAAGAATCTCAATGAGGCCTTTATACATCTGATGCTCACTGGAAAGCCTCTTCTTGCTCTCAGGTGGTTGCTTCAGTAATTATAGATCTTTGTTCATGTATGTCATCAGAATTGAAGATGCACCAATTCACATGCGCAGGGGAGAATATGTCTTTAATCTATACTGGAACTGAACTGTTTGAATCAAGCAGCTGAAATAGTTTCGAGTGCACAGGTTGATTTGACTAAATACCCTTTGTATAACTTTTAGGTACTCCATCTCCCTTAACGGTCAAGTCTCAGATCATCTTGGTGAAGGAGCCACTGACTCTGGTGGGTACTACTCCAAGTTACTGCAGGAATATGATGCAGTCATGCTCTCTTCAACCTCATTATCTGATAAACCGTCACTTCCCACTTCCCAAGAACCTGGTGCTAATCAACCTCTTCGGATAGTAATAGCAAGAAGTTCCAATGCCAAGCTCGAAGTCCCGGGTCTAACTGCAGGAGTTAATTCCAAGCTTATAATCTTTACAGACAAAGAGAGTGGTGTGGAATCAAAAGCGTCACTGGAAGGAGTCGAGACAGTTATTTTCGATCGGATAAATATGAATGCCATCTTGGACTATTGTAAACGTCAAGGTCTGTGCAGTGTTTTGTTAGACTTCGCAGGAAATGCATATGACTTCGAAGAGCTTGTCAAGGAGAGCGTCGAGCAGAATATGCTGCAGAAGATTTTGGTCGAAGTATTGCCTCTATGGTGTGAAGGAAATGACAGAAATGCACGTTTCCCATTGAACACGGCGGAAGTACGCAGAATGAAGAACTTGCAAACCAAGATCTACCGTAAGAGCATCATATTAGAGGGTCATCTTTAGCAGAAGAATCTTGATCAAAGCAATTTTTTTTTTTGGCCTGTAACCTTGTGCGAGATTCTGTGCATTGAAATAAACGGTGATATTTGCTTCACTCGTGAGAGTTATTATGTATCTGGCTCTATCAATGTAACTGAAAAGTAAAATTCGGAAATGGATTTTTATGACGGTTTTTTTTATAAGATAGATGAGGAGACATGTATCTGACTTTTATAGATGCCAGGAGCTCTTCCATGATCTGGAAATGCTTTGAATTTTTCCCAATCTTCAACCATACGGTTAACAAGATTACAGTTATTTGCTCATAAATTGTCTAACAACTAACTCTGGATCAGAAAAGAAGAATGACACAGGAAGGTTCCACCACAGACAGCTGCACGTTCCATATGGAGCTCAAACCACTGCCATGCCACTCACTTTTCCTACTTAAAGATTCAAATGCATGTAAAATCAAAATGCTCATTCCTGGGCTATGACTACTTGAGTAAATGCTTGAGAAAGATTAGCAATAGCACAAAAGCGCATAGCGCACACAATAAAAAAATCTATGTTAATTCATCCAGAGTGGAAAATGGGATGGCACGAGTCGAAGAAACTCAATTAAAAAACTTTTGTCAAATTCCATACCCAAGGTTTCTTACATTCGCATAACTGAACTAGTCTCCCATGGTATATACATCAGATTTACCACAGAACATACAAAAACTGTGATATCATGCTCATACTGTAGTAAAGCCTGAGCAGCTCTAAGAGTCATGATGCCAACAGGATCATGGTTGTTCTTTTGGCGAATCCCTGGAGCCCCCCAAGTTCCCCAAGTGGCTCTCTCGAGGTTTCTCGCTCGATCCAAAAACAAAACCTTTCACACGATTCTCGGCTGATAATATCGCCTTCTTAATCTGGGAATGAAGACATCTTGGATCAATGACCACCATGTAATCAAGGACAAACGAAATCAACAATTTCTATGTCAAAGCACAACAAGCAGAAGAAGGGTATCCAATACCGCCTCATACCCATTAAAAGCTTTCGCTTGAGGATACATACCATGCGTTTTAATCCAATTGCGGTACAGCAGCGAAAGCCATAACTTTCGGACAGGCAACATTAAAGAAACAACAAAGATTTGCTTGAGATAGATAAACTATAAAGTCAGAACCCTGATATGCATCAAAACTTCCCAGCAATGAGCTTCTGCTTCAGACAAAACACGAATCAGAATCCATGTTGCGAGAAATACAAACGGACAGTGCCACATGTCCAACTGAGAGAAAACATCTAATCTCCAAAGACATTCATCCCCGTCACCTCAAACGCAAGAAACAGCAGCCCGATGACAACGTTACGCGCGCATAAATCAATCAACCAGCGTAATGGATCAAATAGTCATAGTGTCCGATCCTAGCTAGTAATTCAACTCTGTGCACCAGAAATTCCCCCAAAATCATTCACGTCCCATCACAATTTCAGAAATTTTATAAAACTCTTCGCAAAGTCGGCAACTTTCACATCCCACTCTTCTTCGGCACCCAACAAAAGAACAAATTTCATGGAAGAAGGAAACAAAACCCAAAAAAACAGAGAGAGAGAGAGAGAGAGAGAGAGAGATTAAGAAGACGAGAAGAAGAAGAAGGGACTGACGGGATCGAGAGCATTAGGTTCGGGGCCATAGTCAGCAGTCAAGAGGAAATAGGAGGCGGTGATGGTAGCCACCATGGTTGTCCTCCTCACGAGCTTGTCCGTCCTGGGGTTCATCGTCGTCGTCCTGAATGAAACCGCCCGCTCCGTGAACTGTGAAGAAGAGGAGAAGCGACAGCGAGCAGAGAGGACACAAGCAGAAGGAAGAAGAAGGCGTTGGAAGATGAATGGAATGATTTTAGACTATAAGAAAGTATATTGATTTTAAATTGCTAGTAGATTTTTTTTGTATCACCCTCTAATTTTGTGAACATTGATTTATTAAGTTATAAGTGCAAAATGTATATTTTATTGCAAGATAACCAATCTTGACTAGGGATTTAAGTTTGTGCTTAATTTATAGAGCTGTCAAAATGGGTCGGAGGCTCTTATTTTAACCCAAAATTATGAAAATGGGTCATAGATAAAATCATTTAAAATTAAGATATAAGTCATAAATGGATTCTAAGTTAAAAAAAACTCACAATAAATGGGTTTGAATGGGTTTTAAAATGAACCCATTTAACCCACTTAGCAGTGTTAAAAGCATCTTGCACAAAGATTTGTTTTTTCGTTCAAGTGGCAATGACATAAATTTTTCCAAAAATTAATCATATGTTTGTCGTGTCAATAATTTGTCGGAAAATTATGTAAATTCCTTTTAAAGTGTATTGATAACACGAAATTGAAAATTAAACCTATTGGACTTTGCAAAACTTATTGCCTAACCTTCTGGAAGAAGCAATCAATTCAAGAACGAAAGAAAGAACCGATCCTCCATTTAGATGTCTTGATTGAATTACCGATATATAGCATTTTACATAGAAATAGTAGTCTCGCTTATTTCTAAGGAAGAAAGAGTTCGGGAACTATTGCATTGGAACGGGTAAATTTTCGAAGTATTTTTCTCTTACGAAATCTGTCTCCCAGATGGTATGATGGGCATTGTCTTTCCTCTTTAGGATAATAATACAAACAATTCCTGAACTTTGGTCCAATGTGTAATTTGATATCTAAACTTTTAATTTGTTCAATGTAATTCCTGAACTTTTAATTAATTCAGGGACTACTTTAAACATTTTCACATAGTTCATGAATTAAATTGAACATGTATCAAAAGTTCAGGGACCACATTGAACAAATTAAAAGTTCAAGGACCACATTAAACATTAGGCTAAAGTTCAAGGAATACATTGAATAAATTAAAAGTTCATGAATCAAATTACAAATTGGGCCAAAATTCAATGATTGTTTGTGTCATTTTTCCTTCTTCTTTTGATCGAGATCTGCAGGTCCAATTGATCACCACATCCGTATTATAAATATGCAGTTATTATCCAGAGCGCGTCAAGAAGTACTTGGTATGGCAATCATTGGGAGAAAAAATACCTAAATCAGAAGATGCTCCAGCCGCAAAAGTCCTGGAGCATAGAGCTTATCAAAGTCGGCATCGGGGAAAGCTGCCTCCATCGTATTATTGCAAATTTCGTGGATTGATCTGAAAATATACCAAATTTGAGTAAACCAAAATGGAATTTACTTGCTAAATGGGTAAAAAAAATAAGAAGAAAACCCAAAAAGAGAAAAAAAAAAATTGCAGCATGAATGTCTCCTCCATTTTGCCTACTTTCCATCTTGGCTTGGCTTTCCTTCTTCCGTAAAAAAAAAGCAAAAAGCTCACCGCCCATCTCAGTCACTCTCCACAGTGAATAAGCGAGGGCAGAGCACTCCGCCCTCCCTTCCGCCGTTGAACCCGGAGCTCCGTCCGCCGTCTCCGCCGGAAAACCGCGCGACCCATTTCCGGAGCCGCGAGCAAAGATCCATGGAAGACCCGAAGCCGGCTCCGGACCCGACAGCCCAAGCTCCTCCCGGGCAACCGCCTCTCCCGCCGCAGAGCAAGAAGAGGCCGCTGGACGCGGATGCCTCCTCCTTTCAGAACTCCAAGTACTTCAAGATGCGCGCCGTGCTGGGCGACCTCCGTCCCCATTTCATCGAGGTATGAATTCGTTCAGATGGAATCACGAGTTGCCCTCGAAAGAACGAATCGCGACTTTATCAGTAGACTCATTTGTTTTGAATTCTTGGGAGCTTTAAATTTTTGAAATTTTTTATGTCTCTGTTCCGGATCTTCTTGCTTGATGTGTTCATGGATATACCCAGGTCGAAAGTTCGTCTCTTTTTATGTGAAGTCAGAGTGATGGTAGCGCGTCGTGAGCTGGTTATGTGTTGTCTACTGTTGATGGGAACTGAAGGACTCAAGATCAGATGCCTGTGTCTAACCGTGGCTGTCCTGTCTAGCTAATGCATTGTTCATTTTGGCTAAATTTTGATGGTTCCGTTGTCAAATGGTTAACTTTTAGCTTTAACTACATGCTATTTTGCACCTGCCCGTGCATATGTTTAGGCTAAGGGTGAGTAGGTGTTCACACATTGGGATTGGCTTGGAGTAGTTCCGACTCTTGGTCATTTTTATGGCCAATTTTGGGAATCTTACCAACTGAAACTTGTTGCCAGGATTCTGTACTTGTTTAGCAACTGAAACAATATCGAGCATGTTGTTTTTCCTCCCTCCAACTTGCGAAGGATTAATGGGGCATGCTTTTGGATTTATGTTGAGTGCTGGCTTATCAAAGGAGGGAAGAAAACCTTGTCTAACCTTGGACCTAACACATTTCCTTTTGGATACCCTTTGAAGGTGCTTCGGACCCCAGATTTTCGGAACTGCAAGGCAGCTGAAGAAATCAGAAAACGTAAGCCTCTGATCACCGTTTCCTTGTCCTGGTTTCATAAGGTAGTAGATGTATTGCAAAAGTAGTTTCAGTGTTCACCACCATACTAGACGATCAATTTGCCAGATCAGTTTGGTTAGGAAAGCCTCTTATCTCGTGATCTACTTGTTCTTTAAATTATACACTTGACTTGGTAAACGGAGATTTTTTTATGTTTGGTGCTTTCTGGAAGGGATTTCTCTTTACTTGTCAAACCTGTTTCAACTCTTGCTGTTGTTTCACCTAAAGCTATGCCCTGGTCACTTTTGCATCAAAGTACCAAATGGATGTGTTTGCTCACCTCTGTCTAGAGTAGTCCGGGGCTTTAACATACTGGAAGTGAATACTTGGTTGAGTCTTTTGGAAGTGTATTCTGAAACTTGTACTTAAAACTTTATTTTTTAATACAAAAATAAAAACTGGATTCACTTATTTTAAAGCAAAAGGATGCTTGGTGAATTGTGATAGCATAACTATTTTCGCTATTTAGAATAGCTTTGGTTGAGTCATTTCTAGTTTACTATTCTAGTTGCATGCTATAGTAGCTGCGCATTCTGGACAGTATTTCCTGAACTTTTTGAGAATGTATACCTCAAATGAGAAATGATAAGAAACATCGGTCTGATGTTACCGAAAGCAAGAGCAGCATGAAAAGAGCATTATCACGGACACTCCCAAGCAATACTTTTAACTTGCCAAACTGCCAAAGTTTATCTTGCTTCTATAAAAGGTTTACATTTTGTTTTGCGTATTTTAATTTTTGGCATTCTTTTTTGCAGAGGTGAAGCTTCTGATGGATCTATACACTCAGATTACTGGAAATAGTACTCCGGAAGTCCAGCCTTCCACAGCAGAGAACCGAAACAGTCAAAAGGCTCCAGATTTCAAGTCGAAAGAGCACCCGGAGCAAAGATCCTCGAAACCATCTGACAACAAGCCTTTTCAATCAGGGCCTGCATCTGAGAAGCAGCGACCTGATGATGATGGTAAACTCGTCGGGGCATCTGCTTTTGGCTGGAATTTCATCACCTTCCCGGGCAATGAACCGGTTTATTATGGCGTGACTAAGGAATCATTCCGAGCTGCTCAGGCGACTGTACAAGGATCGTAACCGGAGCTCTCTCTTTCCCATGTCAGGAGATCAAAAGCAATCGCTTAACGCCTCGAAGTATCATTGCCAAGGAGATTTATCTGGCGATCATTCTGTATCTTATGTAGTTGATGTATCTTCGTAAGGGTCATTCAGAATCCTACTTTATGTTTTTGGCCCAATGTGTTGGTTGAGCTAATTCTAACATTTTGTCCTCTAAAACAAGTTGACGAGTTCTACCTGCTTAATGCTTAAAGTGGAAATCGAGGTTCCTTATGATTTAAAATTTTCTGAGGGAGGATTAATCCTATTCACGCGAGATGTTTTACGTGAGATAAACTAGCAATCATCCTGCCACCTATTTGACTTGTTTGTACACGAAACCATGGCCTAGAAAATAGATAAAGGGTGGGTTTGGTTTTACAAAATACCTTTGTGTAAATATAAAAGACTTTAGGTTAAAGGGGTTTTGCATTTGCATTTTGGTAAATATTATTTGCCACAAATTTGTAATGGACTTTAGCACAGATGGATGAAAAGAAGGCAACTCGGGCTCATCTAAAAGTGCGACGACAGCTTGTCACCGGTCACCAAGGTCGTGTGACCTCAAGCGAGGCGACGCCGAGGTTGTGCGATCTTGAGGCAACCTAGATTTGGCCTTTCGACTGTTGGTGCGACTCAGGCGACGAATGCTGAGGATGCATGATGCCAAGAGAGGTGACACCGTTGTGCGATCTTGAGGCAACCTAGATTTGGCCCTTTGACTGTTGGTGCGACTCAGGCGACGGATGCTGAGGATGCATGATGCCAAGGGAGGTGACGCCATTGCACGATCTTGAGACAACCTAGATTTGGCTCTTCGACTGTTGTTGCAACTGAGGCAACGGCCGTTGAGGATGCATGGCGCCAAGAGAGGCGATGTTGAGGTTGCGTGACCTCTACGACCACTACCAAAGGGTCAAATTTGGATTGCTCAACCCTCGACCTCGACCTCGACATCAACATCCCCGTTGCTTCGGTTCGGTCGAGTTTAATTTAATTTAAACCGTCAGGATCGAGACTATCAATTTCGTGGAATTTATTTTCATAACACCATTATTAAATACTTAAGGAGAAAATTTTAAAACGACATATGAACACTGAAAAAGAAAAACAAAGGCGGCTGAGATGAATATTCAATATATACAGATAAACAAATTCCGGAAAAAATAGAAGACAAGAAAATACGAAAAGAAGACCGACCGGAGAACCGTTTGGGAGAGAGAGAGAAGAAAACCCTAGCGCTGTTCTTGCATCGCCACCGCGACTTTTAGAAGAAGAGGGGCAACGTCAATTCCGGTCGAGCATCGGAAAAAATGTCGAAGAAGAACAGCTTATCTCGTAGGAAGAAGCAGTACGAGTTTGATCTTCGAAGTATACTCTCTCTCCCCTCGTACAAATTCGTGTCGTTCCGTTTGTTTCTGTGGTTTTTTTTTTTTTGTCTCTTTGGATTTCTGTCGCGCAACCCTTTGTTCCGTACCTCTGTTTTCGCTCTGCGCTTTGTCTTGTGCGTTGGAAAGTGTTGATCTTTATGGCTGTCGAGCAGGAGAGAAAGCGGAGAAAGAGAAGGCGGCGAAGAAGCTTCAAGCTAAGAAAAACAAGATGAAGGTAGGTTGCTTCCTTATCCACTTGTCTCGACCTTTTGTTCATGAATTTTTTTCGGGTTGCGGCTTTGATGATTGGACTCGTATCTTACGTTTGCCTTCTCTGTTTGCTGTGACTGTAAGTGCTTCTTGGAGAGCAAAAGGGTAATGGGTTCCTTGTGTTTGTATGCTTCTTGGGTTGCTTACTGGTTATTTTGAATTCGGACTTTTGACGGAATACCGATTGAATCGACAGTTGCGGTAGGATCGATCGTCATTCTGCTGTTCTTTCTGTATTGGTAGTGGGTGATTGATTCGAACTCAAATGAGTAAATTGCCGGTAATTTGTTATACTATTTATCGGGGGGAAATGGGAAAAAAGGAGATCAAACATATTTGAAGATGAAGGATTTAGCTGGAAATATAAGTAGACTTGGGCTAAAGTACTTGTTCCTGCAGGTCGATGGCAGTGGCAAGAAGAAGAAGGGTGCAGGTGGATTCCAAGTTGGGAAGAGAAAATTGAAGACGAAGTTGACTGCTTTGGCGAAAGCTAAAGCGGCACAGGCAATGGAGCTGGACAAATGAGGTTTGTTCTCGTGAGTTGAGGACGATAAATTCGATTGTAGTGTGAGTTTTCATTTTCTTGGGAAAATTGACACTTCAGTGGCTAAATGTAATTCTTAACTTTGCTGTTTAATTCATAGTGAAAGGTAGCGTCTTTTGGTCCGTGTTCATGATTATTGTGATAATGGTTCTTAGTGGTTAATAAGTAGAGAATCATAAAAGGGAGCTTGAACACTTGAGAGCAGCCTTTGTAGATTGAGAATCTGCTGTGCGCACTATGTGCTTCAACTGAATGTGTGTCTTGGTTGGAGTGAGAACCCAATTTGCTCAGTTTAAGGTGTGGCACACTCTGAATATTATTATCTGAATTGAGGTTTCAATGTTTTCCCTTAGTTGGCTTCATGGCTAAAAAACTCCTTGCATCTATTTCGTGAATTGAGGCCTTGGTGTCTTTGTACATTGATTGATGACCTTTCTCTTTGATTGGAAGTCCAAATCCAACCTTTGTATGAGCTCAATCTCACATACCATCAGGTCTAATTTAGTATAGTACCGCTGTGGACATGCTTGTTAGGGCTTTGCCTTGTGCCCAAAAACTATGGTGAATTAGGTACCCATTAGTTTGAAGCTCATATGATCGAAGGAATTCTACTGCTTCCAGTTCCTTGGCTTGGACAGAACTGATGCTTACAATCGATAGACCCATGGGTTCTCAGCGATTCCTGGATGCAAGATGTGCAGCTGTCATATTTCGCAGAACGGTCATGGACGATCTGCAAAAAAGATTCTTGGAGTTGGGTTTATGCAATAGGCCTTCAGATTGATAAACATTGTTCAGGGATGGATGGGCGTTGAATATGGCGAAGAAATAATGGGAGGATTTACTCGAGCATGTTCAGGGATGAAAGGAGAGCTGCCTGAGATTGCATACTTTCGTACTTTCCAAATCATAGTCCATAGGATGATTGAAAACTTTCATCTTATCGCATTTATCATCATTATAGAGCCTCTTTTTTTTTTTTTTGTAGATTATCCTAAAATCTGCTGTAGTGGCTACATCACCCCCTGGTATATTCTTCAATATAGATTACAGAATGTGCATCTTGCTGGTTTTGACAATGCTTACAATCTGATTGTCGAATATATCAGGTAGAGTTTCTGAGTCGGAGAGACGGAAACCCCATATGGGTCGTTAGATCATAGAACCCGACTTGCATAGTCAAGAAGGCCCCGTGATAAAAAAGGCCATGAAAGTTGATTTTCGGGAAGCCATTTCTCCTCCAAATACCAGGCACCGACAAAGCGCACGAAGCCATCTTTGACTTCGTTATCTATCGAGAGAAGAAGATCGTTCCGTCCATCTCCATGTTATCGGGTTGGAATTCATCGTCCAAACGGGAAGCTGGCATTCTGTTCTGTCCCCAAAAGAAACGAAGAGAAAAGTAGGGGTGAGTGGTTTTCGGTTCAGTCCGATCCGGTCCAACCCAAGAACCGGGAATCGGACCGGTTCCCAATTTCTAGGACCGGAGATCGGACTGGGTAGTCTTGGGACCGTGGACCGGTTTCAATGGGACTAATCACTTATTGGTAAAGGCAAGAAGGAATTGGGAAAATTAGATTAAACTTTTTATTTTTTTCAAAAATTTTAAAAGGTAAATAAATATACATATGAAAAAATTAGAAAAATATATATTTATCGGTCCGGTCCGGTTCTTGTCCTAAATTCGGGAACCAGACCGTCCGAAAACCGGTTCCACTTTTAGGAACCGGGAATTGGACCGATGTTCCCGAGAACCAGACCACACCGGATCAGTCTGGTCCGGTCCCGGTTTGGGCAATCCATCTTTCTCACCCCTAGAAAAAAGAGAGGAAGAGAAGAAGCCGGAAGCTGTCGTTTCATGTAGTGTTTGCTATGGCCATCTCTTCATCCACTAGTGGAAGTGGGGGGGATAAAGAATGTGGAGTTGCTTTAGCAAATTGACAAGAACATATTCGCTGTATCAAAGATTTTTCTCGAGTGCAAATGGGGGGGACGGTCTCCTGGAGATATCTCTGCACACAAAGCGGATGGCTTTCAGCATACCCAAGCATTACATGGTAAATGAAAGAAGAAACTGAGATTAACACAGTCGCATGCAAAAATCGAGAAAGAAAAAAAAAATGAAAACTTTGAACTTCTTCTTAATCCCATTCCAGACTGGGGTTCCTATAGTGTTGTCACGTTTCTGACGGCTTTTCGTTCTTCCCCACGCGTTAACCAAGGCTGCGTGAGTCCCACTCACCTCTGCTAATTAATCAGAGCAATAAAAACACCGGCAAGTTTTAGACCGGGTCTTAATTCTGACATGAATTTTATTTTCCCTGATAAAATAGCATCTACTTTAGGTTTGATCTCAATTTTGGCCCGGGGATTTTTTTTTAATCTCCTAAGAAAGCACTAATTTTAGGCCGGATGTTAATTTCGGCTTGTACTTTTTTTTTTCGTTTCATAGAAAACACCAATTTTCAGTATAATTTTGCTCCCGTCAAGGTTTTGTCCAATAATATTTCGTTAAAGTTCTGATGTGCCATTCCACGTGTAGATATATATATGTTACATCTTTAACGACACCATTGGATATAAACTTGATGAGGTCATAATTGGATACCAATAATTTCTCTTATTTCCTTACGAGACAAAAGAAAGTTATGGTCAAAATTGAGACCAAACCTAAAATCAGTATTTTTTTTATGAGATAAAGAAAAATGCAAGTCAAAATTGAAAACGGGTCTAAAGTTAGTTCTATATAAGGGAACTGACCCGTATTATGCATCATTATTGTTCTTTTTGCTTTTTGAATTTGTTGGTCGCGCAAAGCTATACTATTAGTATCTAAACTTTGTCGTATAAGTCCATTCTATAGACTTCGTTTCATAAAATTGCCCTTGCCAACGACAAGTTAACCTGATCTTATGCTTTATGCTTAAATAATTCCTTGCTTTGCTGCGATTATAATCAAAAGAAAGTCATGAAGTTGGATGATAATTAGAGATGGGATTCAAAAAAGGGAGAAAATTGATGCTCGCGCAAGTTAAATACTAAATCTCGATCGATAGCAATTGATTACAAAATCGAGAGTTTGTTTTTCCCTTTTCTATCGCCGTTGGCAATATACTAAGCGAAGGCTAATTGAAAAATTAGAGTGAAACTATCCGGATGTATTTACTATGCAAATGGTGCATTTTTATTGGTAAGATGTACTTACTCAAATGGTCATTGAACTTTGCCTCAATGTACAATTTGATCTATGAACTTTTGATAAATGTTCAATCTAGTCTCCGAATTATTATGTCCCTAAATTCGATCCAATCTTTGAATTATCTAGATAAGGAACTAAATAGAACATGTATCAAAGTTTAGACATTACATTGAACAAATTAAAAGTTCAAGGACTATATTGCACGGTAAATTAAAGTTCAAAAATTACATTGTACGTTAAAGTAAAGTTGAAGGATTATTTATGTCATTTTTCCTATTTCTAATTAATCCCCAAAGCCGTTCAGGCCCGACACCTCGTTGACCTAGGAAAAAGTAATTTTGTTTAATCCCCAATTTGACCCAAAACGCCGTTTTAAATTTTAATAATAACGTCCCCTTGATCGCAGCGTTGACCGGCGACCTCCGTTCTCTCCACCACGCGCCTCGCGACGCGCGTTGGGGGGGATTGGATTGGGGGCCTCCCGCATGTCATTGGATCAGCTTGAAAACAGAGTCACACATTCATACGTGTTTTCAAGCTTGAAAAGACGATCCATATCTAGTAGTACGCCGTGAGCAGCAGCGCTTTTTTCTGTTCAAGTTTCTTTGTTTGTTTCTCTCCTCTCTCTCTCTCTCTCTCTCTCTGTGAGCCCCGTTTCTTGAATTGAGCAAAAACATCATCACTCACCCCAGATGAGAGAGAGAACTTGATAAGACCCTGCTTTGCCCGGTGCACGGAGATGGAGATGGGGATGGTGATGGGGAGAGATCGAGCCCTGGGGTCCTAGAAATTTTGCATTGTGACAAGGACCCCGTTTCAGCAGCAGGGTGGGTCGTCGTTCATGAATGGCTTCTTCTTCTTCTTCACTCGTCTCGGCAGGTCTTTAAGCTCCCCACTCACAAAGCTGCATTTGCCTGTCTCTCTCTCTCTCTCTCCCTCTCGTGTTCAAAGTTCCGTCTTTTGTTAGTGGGGGTTTCAAGAATTCTGGCGGCGTTGACCTGGGTTTGTTGTTGAATTTGCATTCCTTTTCTCTTGACGGTTTCTGGGTTTTCTTGGGTGGCCTGAGGACGCTTGGTGTTAAAGATTTGGAGAATGGGTTGGTGAGAGGGCGGACCTGTTTGAGTATCTCTTCTTTTTTATCTTGCTCATGAAGACTTTTTGTGGTTTCTTTTTGTTTGGTAAGCTGTTAATACATCCACACCTTTTTGTCTTTCTGTTCTAAAGCCTTTTTGAGCTTCAGACTTGTTTGCCCTCCCGTCCAATTGTTCTCGCTTCCTTTCCTTCTTTCATACTTTCGGTTGTTCGTTTATTCATTTCTGTGATCTTGATCTGCTATTCTTCTGTTCACTTTGTCAATGCTTCTCTGTAGTGGAAATTCGGAGTCTTGCAAGAGCTTGGTCTTGTTTTGAAGATATACGAAGTTCATACTCTTATGCCTAATGCTGCTTCCTTTTTTGCATTGCCAGTGACTCTCAAGATTTGAAGCTTGGTTTCGAGAATTCTTCATGTTTTTGGCCTGGTGTGCCTACAAGTGTTATTGGAGCTAAAAAGAAAGTCTTTAGTGTTTTATTGGAGGAAGAAAAAGAGTGAAATTGCTTCCCTGAGTGCCCTTAATTGTACATTACCAAAGTAGATGCATGGATCGGAGAGATGCAATGTCAGCTTCTTATTACACTCAAAGAGGTGCATCTGGAACTGGTTCCGGAGCACAGTCATTATTCCATGGTTCACATGGAATTCACCCGTTAACAAGTGCAAGTATGCCTTTTCCGAGCAATTTTGGAGGCGGTTCTTTGGGATCGCCATTGTCAGCGGAGACTTCGTCGGCAATACCGACTCATGAAGTTAGTGTTGGGGTGCCGGCGGTCATGGCAGCTCCACCGGGTGAGCCGGTGAAAAGGAAGCGTGGCCGGCCAAGGAAGTACGGTCCTGAAGGGACCGTGTCTTTGGCATTATCGTCCACGTCGGTCTCTCCTCCAGGACCAACATCCACACCGAGGCGTGGCAGAGGGCGGCCTCCGGGTTCTGGCAGGAAGCAACAGTTAGCTTCCGCAGGTGAGTTTTCTGGGTGTAATTGCTTTTGGGAAGAAAATAGGTCAATTTTGTTAGTTGATTTCATGCTGCCTTAAGTCAACATGTGTTCTTGTTCTGCCTTGGATTGACTTTGAATTATTAGCATTGGTGAACCGTTTTCTATATCTAACTTTCGTTGGTTCAATTTCGATATCAACCTTTCATTCTAAAGATGAGAGCTTGAAAAGAAAGCTTTGACAAGTTTTATAAAGCTAACATGGAATAGGAGTTATCTGTATTGGAGGGGAAAGTTTAACTTAACAAGAGTCTTTGACAATGAACTGGGACACTAGTTGATGTCTAAACATGCAATCGGTTTGGTTTTCATATTTTCTTTTAGACAATTAGGTCATATCTGGTCTATCTTGGCAATGACGTTTCTCTAATGCACTCTACTTGTCTTCTGAATGGTCATTTCGTCACACTATTTTAGTTGTCAATCCTGATTAAGGTCTAATGCCTGTCTTACTTGTCGTTGCTATATTTTTGGACTGAGGTTGGCGTTTGAGATGTCTGATCTGTTAAGTGAGAGGGAGAGGATGAGAGAAGCCAATTTGTTTAGAGCCTTAGTTCAGAATCTTAGTGTTGATCTGTTAAGTGAGAGGAGAGGATGAAAGAAGCCAGTATCTTTTGAGCCTTAGTTCAGAGATTTAGTGTTTTCTCTAGTTCAATTGCTAAGCCTGTTTATTTTGATCAATTTTTCCTTCCAACATAAGGATATCTTGCCTTCTGTTATAAAGGAGAATTAAAGTTAGGCTCACTGTTTCATGTTAATTTTGCTTCTGTCGATTTAAAATTCTTTCAATGATTGACTTT